AGCCGTTTTAGGGGGGCGTGGCAGAGTCTTAACTTTGATAAAGAATATCTCTTTGGTTTTGAGACTTTAGTCTTTGCAACTTCAGGGATCTTATCTATGCACAATCAGCTTGTAACACTCCAAAGAGAAAGGGAAACTTGAAATCGCATCATATGACCCCTTTAATGCTTTGGACCTTGCGAACTTTGGCAAATTTAGTGACTAGTTGCTCATTTGCTCATTGCATTAGCCTGGGAAATTTTGAAGTTGGTATGAAATGAAAATTCACTATATTGTCTATGTAAATGCGTGCTATGAATTTTATTGTAAACAGCTAATCTGTGCATGTTCATTTGTATTCCTGCGAAACAGCAGGCTTCTCTCTAGTGACGCGTATGGGACTTATCCAATAATTTAGTGCACTTAAACTCCGCCCCTTTCTTACAGTTGACTTCAAGCTCACCATCCAATCGCCTCCATCCAATCAACAAACAATGCACGGTTTGAAGGGATACAGCTATGTCCGGAAGTGACACAAGTCTTGCAAAATCTAGTTCGCTAGTTGTCTTCTTCACTGTCTGTTTCATTTTTTCCTTTCCATCCGGCAAGATTCTAAGAGATTTTGGAAGGACGTTGCCACAATGTAGGCTGATTAGTTTGCTAGTTGTTTTCCTTAGTCGATTTAAAAAAAAAATTATTTTTTTTTCTATTTTTCGTCACTTCCGGCCGTATAGCTGAGCCTGGACCTCTATAAATTATCTATTTGTCCTTTGGTATGAACACTACTCTGTTCAGATATTTTGGGGGAAACCTTAGCATTGTTTGGCTTCAGATATTTTAAATGAATCGTTTACCCCAAAAAGAAAATTTTCTGTAAATGTGCTCAAACCATCCAAGAAGCCATCCAAATTCTTCATCAGGTTTGTAAAAATGTGTCACTGCATCAGTGTCTCAGCAATGGATGCTCTGCAGTGAATGGGTGCCGTCAGAATGAGAGTCCAAACAGCTGATAAAAACATCACAATAATCCACAAGTAATCCACAGCACTCCAGTCCATCAGTTAATGTCTTGTGATGCCAAAAGCTGCATGAAACAAATTCATCATCAAGATGTTTTAGCTTTAAACCGTCACTTCTGGTCAAAATATGAGTCCATAATCCATAATAACGTTTCCTCCAGTGGAAAAAGTCCATATCCCGTTGTCATCAAACATCAAAATCCACCCACATATTTGTTTAGAGCTGTTTTGGACTGTTTTTGCTTCTAACGGTGCTTGATCTGTGCAGATTTCTCTCATGATTCAGGATAAGACTTTTTCACTGAAGGAAACATTATTATGGACAGAGAACTCGTTTTTAGCCAGAAGCAAGGGTTTGAAGTTAAAAACATTTTAATTTAAGCTAATTTCCATTTTTGGGTGAACTATTCCTTTAAGAGATGACGTAAATTATTAAGATCCTGTAAAGGAGCAACATTTTCATTCGAAGCACAGTCCTAGCTCAGACTTCCCATTGCACTTCGAAGTAGAACATTGTGTCTGATAACAAAAGTAATCAACAGAATTAATTACTGTTATGTAATTGACCAACTACCACAAAAGAGTGTGTCTGAATGAGGAAAAACCCTGGTTGTAGTAGTGTATGATGCTTCTCTCTCTGGGCTTCTCCAGCGTTTCTGCTTTAAGAGCTGCGTGTGCGCTTTCTGTGGAATTACAGCACAGATGGGTAAATGTCAGTGAAATGTCCTGAATAGATCATCTCCATAATGTGTGTCAGGACACAAGTCTCTCCGTTTCTCCGCTCGCTCGGCTGTCTTCAGTGCAGCGTATTGACAGATTACTGTGACATGATTAAAACGGTAATGTTTCAAACTGTCAGACTGATATAATTTAAGGTCCAGCTGCTTCTGCGGGTGCAGAGTTATTGCACAGAGGAAGTAACGCTTTCTGTTTTCACCTTCAGTCAGTGTTCCTGAGAATTTTTGCTCTAGCTCACCAAAACCTCATTTTATTGGTCAGAAGCTCTAGCTGCATGAGCAGAAACACTCAGTGGAACCAGAGATGTTCACTGTGCCAGTTTGACAAAGAAAAATGTAACTAACATAATACAGAACAGTTTATTCCTTTATTAAGTCACATTTATTTCTATGGTGCTTTATATAATACCGATTGTTGAAAAGCAGCACAGTAATAAACAGGAAAATAATGTTAAAGTTGAAAAATCAGTCAATTATGAAAAAACTCATCTGTATAGCAGTTCTACAGCAGAGTTTGTTATTCAGCTCAACTCAGTTCAATGTTCTTTCAATTCAGTTCAATAATAGTAATAGCAGTAATAGTGTTAAAAAGTTCATCAATTTCAGCTATAAAGCAGCTCCACAGAAGATAACAGATAAAAGTTTAGTTATAATCAGCTCGATATTGGGCTATAACATTCTAATTTAGTTTATACAATAACCTCAATCATATTTATTTAAATGTGTATTAATGCTAAATTAATGCTTTTTTTAAATAAATTACAAAATTGTAAAAAGATAGCACTTATATATGTGTAAATTATTTTATAAAAAATATTATAAAAATAACAATATAAAGACATATATAAAAGTAATGAACTGTATGTCCATTTTAAATAATAAATTTTTAGGGATCACAGTTTTTTTTTTTTTAGCTCAACTACTTATAACTACACTTACCTGTTAGTCTCAGGATCAGATGAACTGCACAGGACAATGACAAAAGGTAACTGGAATCTGCAGGTCACATCAGATTAATTACAAGTTGTGTTTACATGTTTAAAAAAACTGCTAAGTCCAAAAAAGAACTTATTGAGGATTTTGAGATTTTTACAGGTTTACCGGTGCATCTCAATAAATTAGAATGTCGTGGAAAAGTTCATTTATTTCAGTAATTCAACTCAAATTGTGAAACTCGTTTATTAAATAAATTCAATGCACACAGATTGAAGTAGTTTAAGTCTTTGGTTCTTTTAATTGTGATGATTTTGGCTCACATTTAACAAAAACCCACCAATTCACTATCTCAACAAATTTGAATACTTCATAAGACCAATAAAAAAACATTTTTAGTGAATTGTTGGCCTTCTGGAAAGTATGTTCATTTACTGTACATGTACTCAATACTTGGTAGGGGCTCCTTTTGCTTTAATTACTGCCTCAATTCGGCGTGGCATGGAGGTGATCAGTTTGTGGCACTGCTGAGGTGGTATGGAAGCCCAGGTTTCTTTGACAGTGGCCTTCAGTTCATCTGCATTTTTTGGTCTCTTGTTTCTTATTTTCCTCTTGACAATACCCCATAGATTCTCTATTGGGTTCAGGTCTGGTGAGTTTGCTGGCCAGTCAAGCACACCAACACCATGGTCATTTAACCAAGTTTTGGTGCTTTTGGCAGTGTGGGCATGTGCCAAATCCTGCTGGAAAATGAAATCGGCATCTTCAAAAAGCTGGTCAGCAGAAGGAAGCATGAAGTGTTCCAAAATTTCTTGGTAAACGGGTGCAGTGATGTTGGTTTTCAAAAAATACAATGGACCAACACCAGCAGATGACATTGCACCCCAAATCATCACAGACTGTGGAAACTTAACACTGGACTTCAAGCAACTTGGGCTATGAGCTTCTCCACCCTTCCTCCAGACTCTAGGACCTTGGTTTCCAAATGAAATACAAAACTTGCTCTCATCTGAAAAGAGGACTTTGGACCACTGGGCAACAGTCCAGTTCTTCTTCTCCTTAGCCCAGGTAAGACGCCTCTGACGTTGTCTGTGGTTCAGGAGTGGCTTAACAAGAGGAATACGACAACTGTCCTTGACACCCTTGACACGTCTGTGTGTGGTGGCTCTTGATGCCTTGACCCCAGCCTCAGTCCATTCCTCACTCAAATTACTCAAATTCTTGAATCGATTTTGCTTGACAATCCTCATAAGGCTGCGGTTCTCTCGGTTGGTTGTGCATCTTTTTCTTCCACACTTTTTCCTTCCACTCAACTTTCTGTTAACATGCTTGGATACAGCACTCTGTGAACAGCCATGCCATGCCGAATTGAGGCAGTAATTAAAGCAGAAGGAGACCCTACCAAGTTATTGAGTACATGTACAGTAAATGAACATACTTTCCAGAAGGCCAACAATTCACCAAAAATGTTTTTTTTATTGTCTTATGAAGTATTCTAATTTGTTGTGAATTGGTGGGTTTTTGTTAAATGTGAGCCAAAATCATCACAATTAAAAGAACCAAAGACTTAAACTACTTCAGTCTGTGTGCACTGAATTTATTTAATACACGAGTTTCACAATTTGAGTTGAATTACTGAAATAAATGAATTTTTCCACGACATTCTAATTTATTGAGATGCACCTGTATATGTGTGTGTAATTAATATTGTTTATACATTATGCATTTGTTTTTTATTTATTCCTTTTTTATATAAAATATAAATAAATTATCCAGTGGGGCCTAAAAATTTGAAACCAATTTGAAAATGTGGATTTTTCTTTTCATTTAAACTTGAAAATAGACAACAGGTAAAGAGACGAACTATTTAAGATGGTGCACTATTTCAGATCACTAATCAAATGTAAGTGAATTAGTGATATTGCTAATTTTACTGGTCTTATGATAATGTAAGTGAAACCCACTCTTTGTTTATTTACTAAAAAACAATGTACATGTAAATGGACTCCAGCTTCATGTAGCTCAGATTTGAGAAATTATTCTGGCAGGAGCAGTATGAGAAATGTGTGCCTTCATTTCCCTCATCTTCTTTTTTTCCTCCTCTCTTTCTAGTGTTGTGGATGTCTGGGAGAAGGACATTAGTGTTCACCCTCTGCCGCTCCCTCAGAGCTCATGTGAGGAGCTCCAGAAGCTTCTGATGTCCAGCACCTCCAGACTGCCTGCATTCCTGCGCTGCATGAACTCATATCAGGTCACATACCGCTCTGACCACATGCATGCCAAAGCATGTGACTGCTTAGTCATTATACTTCTTTATTTCTTGCTCTTTATTTACATTATATTTATTCATTTAGCAGATGCTTTTATTCAAATCTACTACAACAATAATATGCAAAACAATACAAAATTCCAAAACTGTCTAGAAAAGTACAGACTATGGTACAAATGTACTATAAGTGTGAGACAGTAAAGAAACGGTATAATAGAGTGCTGTAGTGATAGTATCCAAGGCCAACCCACCCTGGTTCCCTTGACAAAAACCCAATAGTGTTTTCCATTAGCTTTTAGATTATTCCGGAAAATAAGCTCTGGAGCCAACAAAAGTTAATGATTGTTAAATGTTTTGTTTATCAAGATAATCTTTACAAATGAACACAATGTTTTACACAACAAGACTATAAAAGCAACTGTTCAGTGTGTTGATGTTTAATGTCCAGCAACCTCTGTAGTCCCATTTAGACATTTGATAGCAACCACCTTTATTAAGAAAATTAAAAGCTTTAAAATTCCCACGGGGGTTTTACTGATTTTATGCCATCGAATCAACATGAAAATATTGTGAGCTTGTGTTAATCCCAGACATAATTTCAGGCATTTAAACATTAAAAAAACCATTGACTTCAGAAAGAACCAGAAGTTCAATTAAACAGAAGTTGAAAAATGCAAACTTGTTTGGCCTGCAAAAATACATCATCCTTGAAGCACTCTATCCACCTTATTTTAAAGGGATAGTTCACCCCAAAATAAAAATTTGCTGTTAGTTTACTCACCCCCAGGCTATCCAAGATGTAGGTGACTTTTTTTCTTCAGTAGTTCACGGTTAGCTGAAACCGTGGTCCTTGGTGATTCATAAAATGCAAGTCAGCGGCTGCCCATCTTTGAGAATAAAAAAAAAGCATATCAAGGAACACAAAATCAATTATAAATTTTTACAATTAACACAAAATTCGTCTAGTTATTTACCTATTACTGCTAATGAATCTAAAGTCTTGCACATAAAATGGTGAATATTCATTCACAGAAAATAGCTTGCTAGCTAGCTTCCATGGTGGAAAATGTGGATATAGTGAGTTTAGTCATGTTGTCCTTAAATGATGTAAGAGTAAAGGAGGAATACTGGTTAAGTTGTTAAATTGTGATCCATACAGTCACTGGTTGCCTCAGCAAAGATGTATAGCTGTGTGTCTTTGGCGTAAGAGTGGTAGGCAGTTCCATGTTCCTGAATGTCCCATCAATGTAGTGTACGTTGAGAAAGAAAAGGGGACCAAATACCGAGCCCTGAGGTACCTCAGTGGCTAGTTGATGTGACTTAAACACCTCTTCCTACCAAAATACCCTGAATTATCTCACTATGAGGCAGCCCTCACTTCAACCAGCAAGTGCTGTTACCATAATGGTGAGGATATGGACTGGAGGATAGACAGAAACACCTGGTGATTTGCAGTGTCAAAGGATCCAGCAGAATAAGGATGGATGATAACAAGGCTCTTCTTACTACCTTCTATATATTACTTTTCATATGTTTTTATCTGAAAGTTTTGTTACCCATCACACCATTTGATAGCATTTTTAATTGCCCACGTTCAGCTAAGCTGACATCAGTAGTTCAACCGCATTGCTTAAACTGAAATGCCTTTGAGTGCAAAAGAAGAATGCTTTTCTATAGCCTAATACATAAAAACAAAATAAAACATCTCTTTGAAGCAGATGTGCATTGGTATCAGGCAGATAGCCTGGTTGAAACACTTGCCTCAGTTTCTGTTGTTTCTCCAGCATATTTGCTCCCAATTAAGGAAGCAAAACGGCTGTCTCCTGGCAGTCTTTTCCCCCCACCTCCCTGTGAAGAGTTTCAGGGCTTGACCCAATGCTGATGCTGATGTGCAGCTTTATCCTCTTCAAAAGAATCCAGATTTCCATTTACATTCTTACTGAGAGAAAAATAACCTGATAAAGAGGAAAGATTTACAAGATGTGTGCAGAAATTCCTTAGGAATAGGGAATTTTGTAGGGTCTGCAACACTTGAGGTGTGAGGGAACAAGTCTGACACCAATTTTTAATAATGAATTATTATGTGGTACATGTGGAGTTTTGAATTTTTTACAAATATATATATTTTAGCACTTATTAGGTTCTATTTAAGTTAGAATGTTCCCTTGGAAGGTTGCTGGGTATGTATATATGAATGTATGAATGTATGTATGAATGATTAAATACATAAACAAACAATCACATTGTAACAAGGAACATTCTAACTGAAACAGAACCTAATAAGTGGACAATTTGAAGCACTCTGCAAAGGCAGCCACTCAATCAACAATGTAAGCCTGTTCATCTCAGGTCATTAATAGGGAGATTTACATGCCAAAAGCTTTGCGCTACATTAAACAAACTTCTTTTTTGGTCCTCCTTTTGTTGCCGTGGTTTATTTTGACCTTGTTTCTCATGCTAGCAACATGTGTTTGCTCTGCTGTAGCTGTTGCAGGCATTGAACTTTCTCCATCAAGTGGAAAACTATCACTCATCCTGCCAATTTTTGTAGTGCTCTGATGATAAAATGTCAGACAGGCATCGTCAAGCACGCGTGCCTCTGGGAGTGCTGCGTACAGTTCATTCAATGCCTTTGTCGTGCTGAGAGCAAGCAGACACACGCAAACAACTGACCTATATAGATATAAAAGGTTATCGTTGATCAGGTTTACATGAATAGATGTTTTCCAGTGTTTCGTGGGAAGTTGATCCAGCTAATATCTGAAAGAATCAGAGCACAGAGACCCGTTTTAGAAGTGATGCCAGAGTTGACATTCATATGTTACAGTGTTTGGTTTGCATCAAATTTAAACATATTTCTCATTTAATTTCTAGCTAAACTAGCTATGTTGTTATATATACACTACTGTCCAAATGTTTAGATTTGGTATGAATTTTTAATGCTTTTGAAAGAAGTCGTTTCTGCTCACCACGCTGCATTTATTTTATTACAAATACTATAAAAACAGTATTACTGTGAAATAGAAATGACATTTTCAGTATCATTATTCCAGTCTTCGAGTCACATGGTTCTTCAGAAATCATTCTAATATGCTGATTTGCTGCTCATGAAACATTTCTGATTATTATCAATGCTGGAAACCATTGTGCTGCAAAATATTGTTTTTTAGGATTCTTTGATGAATAGAAAGTTCAAAAGAACAGCATTTAGCCTATTGGAAGTAGAAGTCTTTTGTCACATTATGAATGTCTTTACTGTCACTCTTGAGCAGTGTAGTGCATCCTTGCTGAATAAAAGTATTAATTTTTTTGCCAAAAAAAAAAAAATACTGATCGTGCACTTTTGAACGCTAGGGTATATCAGTTACAGTGATGTAGGACCCACTCAGTCGTGACTCTGAAGTATGTAATTGAAATACTGCTGGCTTGACAGTCTATTTGATGTTGTGCATGAGTTAGTGGAAGTAAGCTCACTGAAGGCCGTGAGGAAACCACAACAGGGACGAATCCTTGAGCTAGAGTTTATCATCATCCATCACAGGACTCAAGGCCTGCATGAAGCTGATTTGGTTAAATGTCGCTACTGTCTGTTTGCCACATTTTTTTACATTATGCTTTCAAAGTTAAGTGGCCATTTGTGGCTAATTTTTTAATTTTCAGGTTGTTCTTGTAAATGAAAAGATCCCAGAATTAGTCATTTTTCAGCAGTTGGACATGACAATGCTGCTGTATTTGAAATTAAACACGTCTGAGAGGTGAAGTTTGGGGGCAGTAAGATTTTGAATTTATTTATTTATTTCTTTTTTGAAAGAAATGTATGCTATGATTTAGCTAGGATGCATTAAATTGATGAGAAGTGACAGTAAAACATTTATAATGTTACAAACATTTATATTTCAAATAAATGCTGTTCTTTTGAACTTTCTGTTCATCAAAGAATAAAATGTATCACGGTTTCCACAAAAATAGATTTCTGAAGATCATGTGACACTGAAGACTGGAGTAATGATGCTGAAAATTCAGCTGCGCATCACAGCAATAAATGACATTTTAACACATATTCACATAGAAATAGGAATCAGTTATTTTAAATTGTAATAATATTTCACAATATTAGTTTTTTTACTGTATTTTTGGTCAAATGCAGATTTTAAAAAATCTTACTGATTTTAAACTTTTAAATGGTAGTGTATGTGAACACTCCAAAATCTCGAAAGCATTAAAAATACTTTGTTATTGTCAACCTTTGTGTGAAACAATGCAGTGCATTGCAATGACAGACAGTAGTACACTAATTGTTGTTGCATCATGCTGTATGTTTAGACCTACTGTCATCTTGGAAATAACTATTTTGCAACCAATTTTAGAAAAGAAAAAACATTTGTTAGTTCATTGAGATGAAGAATTAAAGGGGTCATATGATGCTGCTAAAAAGAACATTATTTTGCAAATCTTCGCACATCGTGACGTAGACATGTGGGGCGTGTTAGAACGAGCCGTTTTAGGAGGGTGTGGTTAACTCTTAACTTTTATAAAGAATATCTCTTTGGTTTTGAGACTTTAGTGTTTGCAACTTTACAGATCTTCTTTATGCACCAAGAGCTTGTAACACTCCAAAGAGAAAGGAACAATTGAAATCGCATCATATGACCCCTTTAAGAGAAAGAATTAGTTATATTATTTCCAGTTCATTCTAATCACTAGTTGAGCACATTGCACTGCAGTATTTCATGCATTAAGTTGTATATTGATATTATATACTTCATATTTTGGCATGTGGTAGGTCCTACAGATCCTCTATGGTTTTTTGCACAGTGTACATATTGTAATTTACTGCAGACTTTGTGAGAGTAATAGGTTAGTATGGTGATCTAAACACAGTCTGTTTGTCTTCTCTCTATAGGTGGCCTACATGCAGATGTGATGCATTGAGCTCAGAAACCACTGGAGCAGTTTATCATCACAGTGCAACGACACATGAAGTCAGATATGAAAACCTATTAAATGCAAAACATTAAACACTTTTTTTTTTTTAAATTTTTTTACGGTATACCAAGGTCTGCATGATATTAGAATGAAGTGACTCATATATCTTTCTAATTGGGGACCGGAGTTGTCTATCAATCTTTAAAAGTGTAAATAAATACCCATCATGCTTCATTACAAGCACATTAAATATCATTCCATGCACACTTAAAACATGTTACTGATAGTTTGGTTCACTTTCTGTCTTAGTAAAAGTGCGCATTCTCCAGAGTTTATGAGTTCGCAGCAGTGTGCGATGCAATGAGTGACGGGAAACTGTGTTCCCAGACGCGACTGAGAAAATATATTCATAGATCTTTCTGAATATGCTCGGAGCTCACTGTGCTTCATCACACATCATGATGACAGGTGGGAACACACTTTACCTTTACAAATGTCTGCGTGTCATCAGGGTCTTACGCTTTGTGTGAAACGCACAGAAATGTGATTTACATCGCTTTATTTTAAAACCAGCATAAGATCTTCTGGTGTTATTCATTCATGCAGTGTGAAGAATTTTGAGATCTGATCTAAATGCTCAAACTCTAAAATTCCCAAAACTTCATGATGAGAGCTACAAATAAAAAATATAGGAATGAGTTAATTATAAGAAAAAGAAAAATGTTTGGTCACATGCAGGCCAAAAAACAAACATAATATGAGAACAAGCGAGCATGCGAGCATAAGAGTAAGTGTATTTACTATTTAGTCTTAAAGCTATAGAGGAGTTACAGTCCGAAATATCTTGGAAAAACCCAAACACGAGTTTATGATTTTCCTGATTAATTTGTTAGATGTTTATACAACCTGATTTCCCTCTGATCATCTGAGGGTTAGTGTACGAGTACAGTAGGTATAGGGTTGATTTTGTGTTTGATGGGAGTGTTGTTCCAGAATCAACATCAGATGGGAGTGTGTGTATTCATAAGTACAGTGAGGTGATATTTTGCATAGGGCTGCATAAGCTAATAAGCACATGTGCTGGTGAACTGCGACAGGCGTCTATGAATAGCACTACTTCACTAATTGTAGGAGAAATTGCACACACTCTTCTTTGACATTTTATTAGGACCGCTGGCAAAATATAAAATTATGGAAAGACCCTCTACAGATGATAGTATACATCAGGAACTTAATGGAAGAGTTTGGCTTCATTCTTCTTGAATGCTTTCATAGTTCTCAATCCTGTGTTGGTAGATATTCTTTCTTCAAGTAGATCCTTCAGTTTTAAGATTGAGATGGATGAAATCTGCACTGTTGAACACACTCCCACGAGCAACTTTTATCCTCAAAAAGCAAAATAGCATCAATCACGTCACTCTAGTGTTGAGTTTGAAATGCCACTCTGTCTTTCAGATGATTCCATTATCATGACTGAACTTTAAGTTAAAATAACACACAGTCTGCATTTACAAACATTTGTGGAAAAAATGTGTGGTTCAGAAGAGCTCAGTGAATTCAGTTAAGTAAGGTACTGTTAAGTGTATTGCATTTAGGGCTGTCAAACGATTCCAAATCGTTCCAAAATAAAAGTTTGTGTTTACATAATTTATGTGTGTGTGTGCTGTGTATATTTATTATGAATACAATTCAATTCAAGTTTATTTGTATAGCGCTTTTCACGATACAAATCGTTGCAAAGCAACTTTACAGCAAATTAAGTTTCTACAATATTTAGTAGTAGCTTATCAGTGGTGACTGTCAGTTAATGCTAAACCATCTTAAAGCCTGCCCTTGAATACCTGTATAGTTTTGTAATCGATCTATGAGTATGTCATGATCTATAGTGTCGAACGCAGCACTAAGATCACGTAAAACTAGCAATGAGATCCAGCCTTGGTCTGACGCAAGAAGATACAAAAACATATGTGTGTTTATATTTATATTAAATATATACTTGAATACCTGTGTGTATTTATATACACATCATAAATATACACAGTGCACACACATATATTATGTAAAAAAAAACGTTTATTTTGGATGTGATCAATCGCGTTTAATCGATTGACAGCTCTAATTTTACTTTGCAATAGAGTTTAGGAAAGGCCCTTTTCTATTCCAGCATGACTGTGCCCCAGTGCACAAAGCAAAGAACGTAAAGTCATGAGATTGGCTTTATCTGGAACAGAGATTGCAAGCCATTTTCATCACTTTAAATAAAAGAAACAATAACTGAAATATTAAAAACATACATTTATTTTATTTCACATAATTGCCAAGTTGGCATTTCTCATTTTTGTGTTCAGCTGAAATACTAAAATATCTAAAAAACTAAAACTTAACAAAAATAGGTTTTAAAAGACACACACACACAAACTAAAATTAAACAGAATAAAAAATGACGTCTGATTCAATATAGGTAATACTCTACAATAAGGTTCCATTTGTAAACTTTAGTTACCTACATTAGTTATCATGAACTAGCAATGAAAAATACTTCTAAAGCATTTACTAATCTTAGTTTATTTTAATCTCAACATGTATGAATGCGTTATTAAAATAAAAAAATAGCTTTTTAGCATTAGCTTAATTCTCTGTAAACAAACACAAATATTTTATTAACTAACATTAAGAAAGGTTAATAACTGCTAAAAAATATAATGCTCATCATTAGTTCATAGTTGATGCATTAACAAATGATTAACAAATGAGACCTTGTTACCTCAAAAAATCTTTCAATTTATCTATTTAATACTAAAATTACACTGAGGAACACAATAGGAATTCTTTTCCCAGAATGTCTGAGCTGCATCTTTCCTTAAATTGACAGTGGATGCTGATTTGTATCATCAGGCTCCTAAAAAAGATAAAAGCAGCATGAATCTGTTACAAAAGTAGGTCTTTCTGCAAGTGCACTATATTCCAGGTGTTGCACATCATTCTAACATGTCAGAAGAATGCATGAACAACTCATTCGAATCGTGGAAATCAGTGCAAAATGGCATAAAAACGTATTTGTGGTACTGGTTATTGTATTTTTGGTTGACCACTGTCACCCTGGCCTTTTCCATCGCGGTTGTACAAATGCTCTGCAGCGCTTCACTCAGCGCCTAATTTAAGGGAAACCGCATTTGCCAGCAGACTGCAGTCCATCAAAGCGCCGCTGCTGTCTGTGGGGCCGCTGGGAGCCGGACGGTGTTCAGTTCCACAGAGTAACACAGTTAGTCCAGATTCTCTGACAGCACTTGTGTTTTTGACAAATAACAGCCTGGAGCCAAACTTACTGCTTCCAACAGACGCCCGCAAAATGCATGGGGAACTAGTTTGCAGTAATTGTTTTTTTATTATTAGATTTTTTTTTACACTACACCAGAAACTTTAGATATTTATTATGACTATTTTCTACATATCTGAATATAGTAAAGTCATCAAAACTATTAAAATATATATATATTAGTTGGCATCATCCTGGTTCCCTTGACGAAAACCCAGTAGGGTTGCTCTATTGCCTTTTGGACCAACAAAAGTTTATGCTTATTTATATGTTTGGTTCCTCATGATAATCTTCACAAATGAATTTTGTAGCCTGAATACAATCGGCAGAGGTAAAAAGCTAAAAGTAAAGTTTATTTTAAAACATTTTCCTGAAAGTTTGAGTTAGAATAGCTTCAAGAGCACGATTATAAACACAAGAAGTGTTAAAATCCAACTCATTTCTGGGTTTTGGATGACAAAAACACATCATCCCTGCAGCACTCTACTGTAAATGTATATTGTGATATAATCTTCACGAATATCACTGCTGCTTCCACAGCAGGTTTGTTTGCTCCTGTTTTCAGTTTTCACATGCATCCACCAGATGTGTTACACTTCTGACAAAGTGTGTAAAACCATATTTAAAAGAAAAACCTGACAGCTTGTGTGCACAGAACAACTTGTTTCAGAAACAACTCATATAACAAACAGCTCAGTTCTCATATACAGCGCGCGATCAGTTCTCAGTGCTCAAATACACACACAGCAGTCCAAATGTCTTATCGTGTAGAGTATCTCACGTAAATACAGTCGGTTATGAATTAAGTGAACGTAAACAGGTGGGTGAAAACTGAACGGGTGTCAGTATTACATGCATGCCTTCCGTCTTAAAGGGACAGCATTCCTAATTAATCCGTGTCATTAATGTTAACCAACAAAAGATGTTAAATAAATATGTTAAGTAAACCTACTGTATCTGAAAAATGAGTTTAATTTGTATCTCTTTCGTATTTGTCTTATTCTGCTTTTCTTATATCAGATCACGTTAAGTTGTTCTGCCTGATACAAACCCATTATAAAGAAAACGCTTAACGCTGTCTG